GTGCTTGGAGGGCGGGCCTCTGAATGACGGGCGCGGCCTAAGGCCAGTGGCGACACGGTCTGTCCAATGGAGGGCGGGCCAGTGAATAATGGATGGGACCACGAGCCAATAGCGGCCGGGCCTGCGGGGAAGCGACAGTAGGCCCGGAGTTCCGGACACTGGACGCCTGGTGAGGGCGCTGTCGAACGGGTGTCCGCTTTGCAGTCGCCTGCATTGATTCTCCTCGAATAGAAAAATAATTTGCAAAGACATGCCATTGATCCCAAATGTGAAATGCCCTCTCCACCCGGTCCTCCCCGCGGCTGCCCTTGGGGGCTTTGGGAATGGACAGATGACCTCTGGAGAGCCAGGAGATGTTCCTCGAGGAAGGGCTTTTGGCGGGGTAAGGGATTCCAGGTTTAAGACTTGCTGAGATGCTTGCTGTAAGGGAGTGGCCTCAGCTTTTTACTTTGGGGAAGGTTGTCTAATCAGAATCTCTGTTTGAACAGAACCTGCTGGGATTGCAGCACATCCCCAGACAGTTTTTCCTGCAAGTGTATTACACCTTTCGCAACATCGGAGAGACCAGGTACCTGTTGGCTGTTTTTCAGCCCCGTCTTAAAGAAGCTCTTCCTTCATGGCTCTTATGTTGGCCCTCTCCCCGTTTCCACTCCCAGGTGGCATTTATTCCAGACCCCTGGAGCCTTGCTGCTCAAGCAGAGGTTCCCTGAGCAGCACTGTGGATGTCACCTGGGAGCTGCTTAGAAACGCATGCTCAGGCTGCTGTCAGCCAGCTTGGGCTGCTGAATCAGTCAGGTTAACGAAAGCCCTATGTGGTCAGAATGCACATGGAACTTTGAGGAGCTCTGCTCAGGTGGCCTGAGTTGGGGTCAGCGTGGCCCCATGCAGAGCTTTCTTGGGCAGTTGGAGTGGGAAAGGACCATATAGAGGAAAGGCAGGCAGGTTGTCACAGACAGGGTTCCTGGTTTAGTGAAGAAGAGACAACCCAGGCAGGGGCAGGCGGGCAGGCAGGCATGCAGGTGCCCGGGAGACGGTGGCAGATGGAGAGGATTTCCTGCAGCAAGCACTTCCCTTAGACAGTGGGGTCCCTCCAGTGGCAGGCAGGGTAAAGGGACAAACAGGAGGTGCTCCTAGGTGCACCCAGCCGGGGACCAGGACATCTCTTTGGCCGTAGTGACAGGAGAAGAAACTCATCTGGGCGGGCTGTAGGGTTAGCTGCCTGGTGGGAGCAGTGCAGGAGGGACTGGGGGAGACCTGTGACCGTTGTCTCTTCCCCTTCTGATCTGCTGCTGAGGCTTCCCAGGGGCTGAACCCACCAGAAGTCAGGGCCTCTCCGGCCCACGAGACGCACCTGGGGGGGGTCAGCCTCAGGGGGCCAGTGGAAATGGCAGTAGACCAGTCAGAGAGCATCATAGGAGGTCAGAAGTGAATCTTCTGGACCCAGCGAAGCACCTGTAACTCAGAGAGCTAGACTGAAAACGTGGGCTGGTAGCTTGGCTGCCCCTGTGACCTGGGGCTCGACTCCCAGGGCCTGTGTACCTACTGAGATTTTGTTTGTTCATTTTTGGTTTTGTCTTTTTTTTCTGGGAGGTGGGAGGTGATTAGATTTACTTGTTTACTTACTTCTTTCTTTTTAATGAAGGTAGTGGGGATTGAACTCAGGACCTCATGCATACCAAGCACACAGTCACTGAGCTATACCCTCCCACCTACCCGACTGAGATTTGAATAAAGTTTTGAAGAAGAACAGGGACATAGATTTCTCAGGAAAAAGCAAAAAGAGTGTTTGAGAGAGGAAGCTTTCCAGCAGATGCAGCAACCAAAGGCCCGAGGGCCGGTGCTGTCGGCGGGCTTGCGCACTGACGCGGCATCTGTCTGCAGGGTGGGCGATGTGGTGCTGGGGCTGGTCTGCATGCTGCTGCTGCTGGTGCTGAAGCTGATGCGGGACCACGTGCCTCCCGTCCACCCCGAGATGCCCCCCGGCGTGCGGCTCAGCCACGGGCTGGTTTGGACTGCCACGACAGGTGAGGGGTCTTCTGGCTGAGGGACCGCTTCCACATCTGTCCTTGCAACCTGGGCTCATGTGTGGTTACCTCAGGAGCCCGAGGCCCCCCTGACTAGAGCCGCTCACGTCACTTGCCAGGTGGTTCTGATTTGCAGCCTGGGTGGGGAACACTGCTTTGCAGCAGCAGTCAGCCAGCATGGATTTTGCCCTCCAGGGGATATTTGGCAGTGCCCGGAGATGTTTTTGGTTGACCCTCTGGGCGGGGCTGTTCCCGCTAAACATCCTGCAGTGCACAACGTCCCACGGCGCAGAGTGATCTGGCCCAAAGCGTCAGCATTGCCAAGGTCGAGGAACCCAGGCAGGTCCCTGGGGGAGGAAGCAAACTCTCCTGAGGCCAGCCGGTCCTGTTTTAATTGTGTAGGTGGCAGGGGTGAACATTTTGCTTTGGGCTTGCAATCGAATGAGTCAGTTAACAAGAGGGTCTGTGAAGAAAGGCTGAAGTAAAAGGCTGCAAGATGAGGAAGGTCAGTGAGACCACTGGCTGGCTCAAGGGCTGTCTGGGGGGCAGGGGAGACAGCTGGAAGTCTCTCCACTGAGCTGGCCTTTGGTGACACCGAGAAAGGAAGGCAGGTACAGCAAAACAAGGAAGTGTTGGTGTCTCCTGGGCCTTCCCAGAGCTGAGGGGAATGGAAATCACCCTGCGTGGCCCTGCTTCTGAAACCCAGCCAGCTGTGGGAAGGAGAGTTGGCTAGACTTCAGCCCTTAAGTTACTTCCAGCTGCTCAGGGTGGTTCCCAGTTCCTGGAGTCACTCACCAGACCACCTCCTGCAGACTGGAGGCCGAGGGTAAAGGCTGAGCAGTCAGGAGTGGGGCAGAGTGCAGTGGAAACACCCAGCTTCCAGTCCCAGCTTTCCGCCACTTACCTGGCGCTTGCACAAGTCACTTGCCAGAGTTCCTGAGCTTCAGTTGTCACCTGTAAAATAGTGGAAACAGGCTCTGTCCTCTAAAACCTTGACACTCAAAGTGTGGCCTCTGACCATCGGTCTGGGCATCCCCTGGGAGCTTGTTGGAAATGCAGGTGCTCAGACCCACCCAGACCTCTGACACGGAACCTGCACGGCAGTGTGCTCACCGGGCGACTCGCAGGCGCACTGAGGTCTGAGAAGGGCTCCTCCGAAACCCTGCAGGTTCCCTGAGGGCTGCTGTCTCCTCTCTCCAGGACACACAGCATCCATCACCTTAGGAAACTAGTTACTGAGCTCCCAGCTGTGCTGTTTCACAAAGTCGTCATTTCAGCTTATATTCTAGTTGAGTGAGTACAGTTAATCTACAGCAGAACCTTGCATTTGTTCAGCAATTCATAGAAAAATCGTTTAGCCCCCGAACACCCTTGTTGGGCAGATGGAACAGCCGTCATGTCTCCCTGTTTGCAGGTGAAAAAGCGGACTTGCAGGAACTGAATGAGCTGTGATCCCACATAACGTGGCGGGTGTTTGTGAAGCACATCGCAGGCATCACTGCCTTTGATTCCCATGAAGATGGGATATTATTTCCTCTGCTTTTCTAACAACAGACAAACCAGACAAGACTTCCCGAGGCACACGGCTAGGATGAGGCAGAGTGGGGCCTTGCTCCCAGGTCACCCACTGTTTTCTCTCATCAGTTGATTTGGAAGTATGCTGATTTCACGGCCGTCTCAGAACCCACTTTGATTGCGTTGGTGTCTCTGTTGGGTTTGTTTTCTAGTTCGTTGGTTCTGCTCGAACCTTTATTATTTCTTTGCTGTGGCGTATTTCGGGTTCCGTGTTCACGCCTGCCACGTGGGCGCTTGTGTCTGTGCTTTCTCCCAGGCTGGGGCGGGGTCTTCCGCCTCCTGAGGTGTATTTGTCCAGGGACCCGGAGGATCCAGGTTTCACCGACGGTCTCTCCCTGTCTGTCCTAGCTCGCAACGCCCTGGTTGTGTCCTTTGCTGCCCTGGTCGCGTACTCCTTCGAGGTGACTGGATACCAGCCCTTCGTTCTAACTGGGAAGACACCCGAGGGGCTGCCTGAACCCCACGTCCCTCCCTTCTCAGTGACCACCACCAACGGGACAGTCTCCTTCACCGAGATGGTGCAGGTGGGTAGAAGCAGAAGCTGAGGTCACAGTGGCCCCTGAGCCTGGCTCTACGTCCCGGATACATCGGCTTAGTGACAGGCAGCTCTGAGCTCAGCAGGAGCTGCCATGTCCTCCCCAGGGGCGGCTCTGGTGCAGAGACAGGCGTGCAAATGAATTCTAGATGAGGCACAACCTCCAGGGACATCGCATTTACTTTTCTGCCTGGAGCCCAGGGGTCTTACGCCAGCCGAGCAGGAGCGTGTCCTGTTCTGTTCAGTGTCGCGCTGCCTGCGGTGTGAGCTTGCAGCCCTGCTGCTGAAGGACGTCTGCTTCCGTCAGACGAGGAGTCAGCACCTGCCCCAGCGGGTCACTGCCTGGTCAGACCCCTCCTGGCCGTCCCAGGGGTTCCTCACCATCCCTCTCTCCTCTCTCAGGGCATGGGGGCCGGACTGGCCGTGGTACCCCTGGTGGGTCTCCTGGAGAGCATCGCAGTGGCCAAATCCTTTGGTAAGATGCCCACCCCTGACGCCCTCCCTGGCGTCTCAGCCCAGAGCCCCACCTGCCTTGCTTCCCTGCTCTCCTGCTTGCTTTTATTTGCTCTGATTTTTAAAACTTTGAATTTTTATCCCAAGTGATTCATGCTCATGTTAAAACAAAATCTATAGTAAAAATGGGTTTACAATGAAAGATTCCTTACAGCGCCTGGAAATGTTTGGCAGCCTGCTCTCTGGGGACATGAAAGGTCCTGTGTTTAGCCTCTGCCAGTTGCACTTTGCATGTGTGGTGTAAGCACTCCCCCGGACCAGCTGATTGCAGGCTGACCACGGAGGTTGAACTTTGGGATGCGATGTGAAGTAGCCACCATCCACCATCCACCATCCGCATGCACTTAAATAACCTCACCGGCCTTAATCAAAGGCAGTAAAACAACTGGGAAGCGACACGCTTTAGGCATTGTCTTTGTTCTTAACGTAACTTACTTGATTGAAAATTTTAAATTGGTAATAATGGCTATTTTTGGTAACTGGTTTGCAAAAATTCCTAAAAAATTTAAGAAGTGTCTTTTCCAGCTATCTGAGCACACCTGGCTGGCCCCCCTTGTACCCAGGGAGGCTGGGAGATGCTAATCTACTTACGCGTGTGTGGCTCAGTTCTCTGGTTCCCTCCGTGTGAGCTGAGGCTGTCAAGCCCTTCACGTGTCCTCCCTTCCATCTTGGGTCCCTGGGCTTCCAGCTTTGTGTTGTCCAAGAGGACGACATGGTCATTCTGTTCTGTAACAGGTTAAGTCCTCCTTTGTTTGGGCCTAGGGTGATTCTAAAAGTAAAACTCAGATACACAGAGTGTGTTATTACGACGACATAAGTCACAGTGTTCACTGCCCAGCCCGGGTTGTGCCAGGGGTACACTTCCTTCTCTGAGGTTCCGGCGTGTGGACCAGCAGACCATACCAAGGAGCCGCTAAGCCAGCGTCCGTTCTAAAAGGGTTTCCCTTCCACATGCCAGCAGTCACTCAAGATCACACTGCAGTTCGGTCTGTGACCTGTTCAGCTCACATCTTTCTTGTTAAGTTTTTATTTTTCTGATATTTTTTAAAATGTCTTTTTGGTGGGGGTAATTTTTAAATTCATTTGTCTTTTAATAGATATACTGGGCATTGAACCCAGGACCTTGTGCACGTTAAGCACGTACTCAACCACTGAGCTGTACCCTCCCCCCCGATCTGTTTTATAATTTGGGGGAGGGCATCTTGGGATTTGCTTCTGACACTATTACTTGTTTTGTCTGTTACTTAGAAACTGTTTTCTTTTGAAGTTAGCCGCCCTCCTGTTTTCATTTGTAAAGGCTGTCATTCTCTTAAATCGGGGTTTAGGAAGCCATGGCCTGCTGCTCATGACCGTAGAATGACTTTTGTGGGTTTGTTTGTTTATTTAGGGGGAGAAGAGGTAATTAGACTCATTTATTTGTATTTATTTTTCCACAGAGGTACTGGGCCTTAAACCCTGGACCTCGTTCATGCTGAGCACGTGCTCTACCACTGAGCTACACCCTTCCCCTGGCTTTTTCATTTTTAAGTGTTAGGAGGGAAACTCTGAAGGAGATTGAGATTTGGTGAGATGCCTGGTTCTGCCCACAAGTCAGGTTTTACTGGAGCGTGGTCTCTTGCTCGCTCGTTTCTCGTTCTACGGCTGCTTCTAGTCACAGCGGCGAGCCGAGCAGCCGTGACAGCGTGGCCCTTGAGCCTAAAATAATGTCGTCTGGCCCTTTACAGGAAGTTGGACAACTGCTGTCCTAAATTCATACCCCTCCGTGGTTCCCCAGAGCTCCCCACTCCTCTCTCTGGGCCTCACATGAGGCTTTTCTTGTCATCTCAACTGTAACCAGGAAGTTTTTTAGTTGTAAGCGTCCTTCCCTTATTATAAAAGCAGTAGGTTTTTGTTGCACCAAATATTGTTGAGGAGATTTAGTAGGGAAACTGTGGATGTGCCTGCACGCGGGGCATCTCACAAAAGTGGCCGGACTTACCTGCAAACAGAAATTCCCGCCAAGTGACCCTTCCTCTTCCCAGGAGGAACATTGTTTGCAAACTAGGATGTTTATCTGTTCCTCAGAAGGAACAGGCCTGGGAACAGGAGGGTCTGAGAGCAATAAAGACACTTAGGATACGAAAGTGAACAGGAGAATGTCTTAGATGTGGTGCGCTTGCGTCAATTCAAAAAATGCTGTCTCGCGATGCTTGGTACGGTCAGGTTGCTCCTTTGTGGGAGGGGTATAAGAATAAAGAAACCCGAGCCTCGAGAGACTTTTTGCACCACAACCGCTCAGGGATTCATTTCGTCGGCCACATTTCGTTGGTCACATTTTTGTAATTCGTTTCGTCAGCCGCATTTTTGTGATTCATTTCGTCGGCAACATCTTGAACGTTCAGAAATGGGTGAAGGAGAAACAGAGCACCTGTGGTCTCCCTCACTGCCCCAGCTAACTGCTGCTGGCGCTGTGCTCGACGTCTTTCTACAGTTTTTTTAATTGCAAACCCACAGGAACACTACTGCATTTTCACGTATGTGTATATTTTGTCCCTGTTTATACCTTATATTTACAAAACACAGACAGTGCTGTAGGGAGAAACCTAGGTAACCTGCTTTTTCATTTCGTAAACAGTCTCTTGATGGTATACATCTAGTGACAATGTTTTCATTGTCTGTTCTCTGTAGCCTCTCAAAATAACTACCGTGTTGACGCCAACCAGGAGCTGCTGGCCATCGGTAAGACTCCAGCAGCGGGCAGGTGGCAGTTCTTGGGGTCTGGGTGATGCTGGTTGTGCTGAGGGGCAGGTAGCAAAGGTGGCCTGAGGGCGGCCCGTCCTCCAGTCTCGGGTGGTCCTGTCCAGTCCCCAGGAGCAGGGAGCCGACGCCAGGCGTCCAGCCTGCCTCAGGCTTATTGAGCGCCTGCTGTGCACCAGACCCTGAGATCTGTGGCTGTTCTATGGCGGGAACGCCCGAGTGCTCCTCCTAGGCTGGGCTGGGAGCTTCCTGGGGTGATGGTCAGATTACTGAGGGATGCGGCCAGGTGGGGTCTCAGGTGAGCTGCTGATTGTGCAGGCTCTTGGCTGCCTTTGCCCCACCCTGGGCCTCCCTCCAGGTGGGGCAGGTGGATGAGTGAAGACTCAAGTGGATCCCAGGCCACCTGACCGCACACAGGTGTGTCCTAGGTGTCACCTGAGTTGTCTTGAGGCCTTGAATCTGTGACCGGTTGCGGGTTTTGTGAAGACCCCTGGGTGAGGCAGGTGCTCATGGAGCTGATGGTGGTGAACTTGGGCTGGTTATCTCGGTTCGGGCATGTTCGTGTCCAGTGCACATTAATCAGAGGCTCGTGGGGAAGGCAGCTTACTGGCCGTGACCTTCCGCCCCTCCCTTCGGCTGGTCATCTCACGAGGGAGTGTGGGTTTGAAGGAACTCAGAGTGCAGGGGATGCCAGCGGACCTCCTGGGCCCTTTGGGCCTGTCTGTGTACAGTTGCCTTACTCGGCGAGCCCCCTTCTGGGCAGGTGGGGGTCCTCTGTCTCATACACGGGAAAAGGTGCGTTTAAGTCACACAGGCAAGGCCGGGCTCAGAATTACTTCATTGCTAGAATCAACCTCAGGGAGCTTGTCAAAGATCGTGGTTTGTCTTGTCCCTCTGAGAGAGCCGGCCACGTGCGGGACGCCTCCCGGCTGGCTCCTCCCCTCTCTGTCTCCATTTCCTTTCTGGTTTCCCCTCCTTTCCTCCCCAGCTCCTTTCCCCTCTGTTAACGCCCCTCTTCCTGGGTAAGCCTTTTGCCTCCATTCTCTCTCCAGGCCTGACCAACATCCTGGGCTCCATCTTCTCTTCCTTCCCCGTCACGGGCAGCTTTGGACGGTGAGTGACCACATGCTTCCTCCTCCGAGTCTCTGGGGAGGTCCCAGCCCAGGCAGAGGGTCCTCATCGGCTTGACGCAGCAGCTTCCCCTTGGGGCTCTTGCCTCCACCCCGAGGAGGCCGTTCTCCTTCTTGTCCGGCTGGGTCGGAGGTCTGAGGGCGGGGCGGGGGGCTGGCCCTGCCTCCCTTCACATCCCGGCTGGTTTTCCTGCTGGCCTTTAACTCAGAAGTCCCCACGTGTGGAAGTGCTGCCCATATCTCCTCTCGGCGCCGGAGTTAATTCCTGAGAGAAAGCGGGGCCAGGAAGGGCAGGGCTCTGCCTGAGGACATGGGCCGGGGCGTTAGAGAAGTGCAGACTCTTGGGTGGGGTCTTGTGGGCGGGTGACTCGTGGCTGGAGGGGGCGGTGTCAGTGCCCAGCCTCCAGGCCGAAGTCCCGAACCCTGACCAACCCTGTCTGGGCACCAAACTTCTTGCCACCCCAAGCCACCGTGTCCCGGAGGGCGCAGGGCACACTGCCCAGCCTCCGCACCCCAGTGTCTTCATCTGTAAAACGGCTCATGATGGGCCTGTCTCAGAGTTATTTAGAGAATTTAATGAAAACCACATAGAACAATGCTGGTGGCCCGGTAGGTGCTGTGTTAGTGTTCGTGAAATAGAACCTCTGTTTTTTAGTCTAACTTACTTGTTTTTGTGGGCATGAGCAGATTGCCAGCCTGTTCAGTCAAGGTCATATTTTGTCTCTCTCAGTATCTAGCGCAGTTCCTTGTGTATAGTGGGTCCTGAAATAATTGTATGGATATTTAATTAATGAAATTTCTGCTTAATTCCATAGAGGTTAAAGGTGACTTAGGAGAAGGCAGGGAAGCGTAAAGACAAAATTTATTTCTGGAGGAAGCATGGGTGGGCACAGAGCCCGGTCAGGGCGTTGGGAGGCGCGGAGGAGGCGGGGCCCGGTGCTGTTCCCTCGTCATCTTGGTGGTGGCAGACGGGAACATGGCCTGAGGACCACATCTCTGGCAGAGAAAGCTTATCCTGGCACTTGGATCTGAATGCATTTTTGCAGACAGGCAGTCCACTCACTGCTGGAATTGTGTTTCTCCACGTAGGTTTTTTCTGTTTGCACGTGCACGTATATACACGTGTGTGTGTGCACCTGTATGTGATCTGCCTACATGTACATACACACACATTAAGTGGGATTCCCCCACTTGACAGCTTTTTTCTACGTCAGTAAAAGTGAGCATCTGCATCATTTCTCACCGTGGTGGGGATTCTGTCGTAGGGCGCTGTGTTCTTTCACCAGAGACGTTGTAACAAAGCACCACAGATGAGGTGGCTTCAACAGCAGGCGTTTATTTCTCGCTGGCAGATCCTGAGGCCTCCCTCCTGGGCTTGCAGACGGCCGCCTGCTCCCTGTCCTCACTTGGCCGTTCCTGTGTGTCCCAGTTTCCTCTTATAAGGGCGTTAGAGAAGGGCCCACCCTCACATTAACTTAAACACTGCTTTCAAGGCCCTTTCTCCAAACTCAGTCACTTCCTGAGGGGCGGGGCTCCGGGCTTCAGCGCGGGTATGGGGCCCGGCAGTGGGATGCACTTCAGCCCGGGGCAGCGAGTTTTAATTTGGCTCTTCTGTTGGGTATTTGGGTTTACGTCCAGGCCCCTCTCAGACGTGCTGATCAGTTATTCTGGGTTCACCGAGAAGGCCCGGGAGGCCCCCGTGGAGAGAGTGCTGACGTCAGTGGGGCCTCCTGTCCCCGCCGCCCCAGTCTGGGACGCCAGCCACAGCTGTGTGGACCGACGCCTCCTGTGCTCACCGGGGTCCGACAGCCACTAATGGGTCTCTGTTGCCTTCCAGGACGGCTCTGAACGCCCAGTCGGGGGTGTGCACCCCTGCAGGGGGCCTGATGACGGGTGAGCACCCCTCGCACACACACCATGTTACCCCCACCCCTGTGTCCGCAGCCGTAAGAGGAGGGGAAGGGACGCGGGGCCAAGGTGCAGCTGCCTCCCCCAGAGCAGGGCTGGGCCCTGCCCAGGCGGGGCTCCTCCCAGGGGGAGTCAGGTGGCCGGACTGCGAGGTCACAGCAGCCCTCCCCCCCATAGGAACCCTGGTGCTGCTGTCGCTCGACTACCTGACCTCGTTCTTCTACTACATCCCCAAGTCCGCCCTGGCCGCCGTCATCATCATGGCTGTGGTCCCCCTGTTCGATACCAAGATCGTCCGGACGCTGTGGCGCGTGAAGAGTACGTATGCCCCATCCACGCCGAGCGTAACGCTCCCCCACCGACGGCCGATGCCAAGCCAGCCGGGCTGCAGAGAGACCGGGGCTTCCCAGGGTGACCGGTGGGGCCAGCGTCAGAGCCTCCCTTTCCCCGCCAGTCACAGCGGCTCCAGGGACCCCGAACCTGCAGGCCCTTTACTGTGCTAGTTTTTGTCTTGTTTCTCAAAGCAGTGGAGGGATTTACGTGACTTCTCAGGCTCCTTGTTAGTCGGCCCTCACGAGTTACAGAGAGAAGGGAACCGTGCCATGTGCTTGTTGGCACCAGGGCGCACAGGTGTCATCGCATCCCATCTCAGAGCAGCCCCGGAGCACGTGCTGCTGTGCCTCCATTTCCGTGCCACGGGGGACACAGCAGATACCCCTGGCGGACGCTGAGGCCGGCGGGGGGGGGCTTGGCCGAGAGGCGTGTGTCTAGGGTGGGCTCCAGGGCTGACCCCCAAGCCCACCCGTTTTGCTCTGTGATACTTTCTCCTTCTGCAACTCAGAGACGTCCCAGTGCCTCCCCAGACCCCACATCCCAGGCCTGGCCCTGTCCTCATATCCCTTCTTCCTTGATCTCCTGAGAAGGGCCAGCCAGGCAGGTCTTAACTGTCCCTCAGCCCAGGCAGGGCAGGACTTGCTGCCTCTGACGTGCCCTGTGCTGGCATGGCCTGTCAACAGCATCGGTCCCCAAGGCCCCAGATGCAGGGGCCCCTCAGGGGCTACTCGGGGTCCGTGACACCTTTATTCAGTATGTGGAAAGTCACATACAAGGGTAGGTCTCCCTGGGGGCTTGGGTGGCTGGGAGCTGAGCTCGCTGAGGAGGGGCGGCCCCTCAGCTGGACCCCTCTCCCAGGGCTGGACTTGCTGCCCCTCTGCGTGACCTTCCTGCTCTGCTTCTGGGAAGTCCAGTACGGCATCCTGGCCGGGACCCTGGTGTCTGTGCTGATTGTCCTGCACTCCGTGGCCAGACCCAAGATACAGGTAGCCCGTCGGGCCTCCCTGCGGGGGACCCACCGGCCTCCGGGGGCCCGGTGGGGGAAGTATGCCGTAGGTGGAGCCCTCAGCCCCACTGTCTGGCATTCTGAGCTCTTGATGTAATTGTGGTCTGAGGGACTGCTGAGTGACCATTCACCTGGTGGACGGTGTAGCCTTCCTGCTGTAAACCAGTGCTTTCCCACTGCGGGTGGGGCGCCTGCCAGCTCTGCGCTCCCTTCCAGCCTGTGCCTGGTAGAGCTGCCAGGTCAGACTTGCCTCCAGTACTCACTGGCTTCCCCTCGCGTCCCCAGGTGTCGGAGGGACAGGTGCTGATCCTGCAGCCGGCTGGTGGCCTGCACTTCCCTGCGATCGACAACCTCCGGGAGGACATACTGAACCGGGCTTTGGGAAGTATGTGGCCAGATGGGCTGCGGTCACCCCCCAGCTCCCCGCCGCCCTCTCTGCGCCCTAGCCTGGCTGTTGCTGGACCCCAAGACCCTGCCCTCAGCAGTCAGAGAGGAGCTCGTCCTCGGGTCCGGGGGGGGTCTCTGGTGTCTCAGAGCAGTGTCCACTGGGCCCCCGTCTGCATGCAGTAAGGGTGATGGTTCACCTACATTTGTCCCTAAGGGCCTGTTCCTTCTAAAAGTTGGTATTTAGGGGAGAAAGGAGACTATTCACCCACCTGCAGCAGAAACGGACTGCTGTCCCCAAACAGCTAATGTCTTTGGTCCCTGTCACCTCCTCGTCCCCCTCGGGGAAGAGAGATTGATGGCATTCCTTGGCCTGCGCCCCTGACCAGGGCCTCCCCTGGTGGCCTCCATCTGGTGTGACCTCTCCCCTGTCCCGCAGCCTCCCCGCCACGCTGCGCCATCCTGGACTGCACCCACGTCTTCAGCATTGACTACACCGTGGTGCAGGGGCTTGGGGAACTCATGGAGGACTTCCACAAGCGGGGTGTCACCCTCGCCCTCATTGGCCTGCAGGTGAGTGTTGGCAGCCTGTGAGGTCGGTGTCATCACGGTCTCCACTCTGGGACGAGGCCCAGAGAAGCTGAGCAAACTGCCCAAGGGCACACAGCAAGGATGGCAGCCGGGCTCCGGTCTTGCAGTGTCTCGCTGCAGAGCTCAGCATCCCGCGTTGTGTTTGCAGAGCGCTCATCTCTGTGTTCTTACGGAGATCTGAGGCAGTCTGACGTGGGCTGCTCTAGCAGGAGTGTCCCCACGTGGAATCACTGTCTGTCTGCCCGCAGGTCCCTGTTCTCCGTGTCCTGCTGTCTGCTGACCTGAAGGGCGTCCTGTACTTCTCCACCATGGAAGAAGCAGGTGGGTGCAGCCAGTCATCAGAGAGAGAACCAAGGCAGCCCGGCTGCCCACACCCCACGGGGTCAGGATGGCAGGATGGAGGCCCTGAGAGACAGGAGGGTCGGTGCTTGAGTCCGAGAGTCCTCACGGATGGGTGCAGCCGGGTGTCCACCAATCAGGATGTAGAACGTCTCCCTCGTTCCCCGTTCCAGTGGCCCCCCCTCCCCACCCTGGGGGTCAGCACTGCTCTGACTCCCCCCAGCATCGGTCAG